CTGGTGGTATTCTGGTTGGTATGTGTACGGTCTGGTTTCTTATGTGGTCTCTTCTGGTGATATTGTTGGTTTTGCGGAGACATCTAATTTCGCATGCATTGATTTTTCTATCTTGTGCTTTGTTTAGGGATCATGTTTGGCACTGGTATGTTAATGTTGGTATGAAGATGCTGTTGATGAGCTGGGGTTTCACTTCGATCGAGATGTTCTTGTTACTGGGCAGAGATGCTAGCTGGTAAGTCACTGCATTTGCCTTCAAAGTTCTTGTTTCTTTTTTTTTGTCCATACGCCCATCTTGTGTGAAGATCTTCAATATTTAAATTCCTCTACTTGTTAGAGTTGTGTTTCGCCAATACGCATGTTTAGTTTACATGGGTTTCTGCTGACCTTCATTATTTCTTTTTTTAGAATGGAGATTCTCATGTTTAGGTGTTGACATTTATTTTGTTTAATCCTCTTCATCTGTATTTGAAAAACTCTGGTCATCAGCAATAGAAACTAGTTCAGTTCGGTGATGTTGTCATTTGCTGCTTTTGCGACCTGATCAATGTAAATGATGAAGAGAAGCGGAGAGAGAACACATCTTTGTCTCACCCCAGACCTGATGAGGAACCAGTTTGTTTTTATAAATCACCACGATGTCCCCAAGCAATTGTCCTATTACACCATATGCTTCTAAAATTTCCAAGGTTGACATCTATTTACCCGATCGAAAGCCTTTTCTTGGTTCACGAAGACAGTGTTGAGGTCTTTGTCATGTGCAATGAGTCTTACACAACTGTCTTAATGCAAAATAGTGTCAGTACAGCCTCTGATTTTTCTGAAGCCAAACTGGGCTTCACTGAGTTGAGCCTCTACCACTGGTCTCATTCTCCTTTCCATTTTTGCACACATGGCAGAGAGGGACATTCCTCTGTGGTTTCCTCAGTCTTTTTTGTTACCTTACATTTTCCAAATAGGTACAATATTAGGTCGTTACTAGTCATCAAGTGTTCATTTTGTCACCAAAGCCAAGTTAAAATAATATCATCCATAGCTAGAGTTCACCGAAGACCGCATAGCTTGATCTCTTCTGTTGTAATGTTATCAACGCCTAGCGCTTTGTTTGTGGGTTTTTTCTTCTAACATGTTGGGTTTCACTAAGCAGTATTGATGGTTCTGGAGTGATTTCTTTCGGTGGGAGGCTGTTTTGTGTTGTTTGTCTTGCAGGATTCAGCAGCTCCTGGAAATGGCATTTCCATAGTTCCGTAATCTTTGGCTTACTGAAAATAGGTTTTCCGTTTTCAACATTGACTATTTCAGCTGGGTTGAATGGTTCTTCTCGCATCCTCATGCTTTTAACGCTCTTATAAAACTCTCTGGAGTCTTGTTTACATTTTGCTGCCAGCTGTTCTTCATATACGGTCCAGGATCTGTTCTTAGCTTCTTTTACTCCCCTTGTTGTTTGGCAGAGTTCCATTCTGTATAGGAAGTAATCTTCCTCTGTCTTTGATTTGTGCCACTTTTTGAATACCTTTTTCTTCAGCAGGATGGCTTCCTTCACTTGGTCATTCCACCATATAATAATTGTTTCCCTTTTCTGCCCACCTGTTTTCCTGGTGCCGCACTATTCGTTTAATGCTCTGTTCACGCATGCTTTGAAGTGGCTCCTTTCCTCTATAATGTCTCCCGGTTGTTTGGGCACAATGAAATACATCTGTCATACGTTCACGTATCTTATCTTTGGTATCGTCATTTACATTTATGAGATTTACGACTTCTTGTCGTTTCCTGGCTTATGGCATTTTCTGTTTAATGAGTCGATAGTCAAGATGACTTGTCTGGGTTTTTTTTTTATTGGGGTAGGGGCAATTTCTGGTCGTAGTGTTGTTGCATAATACGTGCGATCTGTTGACATGAATCATAAGTATGACTGGTAATTGTGGTGGTGGAAAAGGCAGTAGGAAGGATAGATGTGGGCTCCTACGGGGGAGAAGTACTGAAAGTGATTACAGTGAAAGTGGTGGGATTAAAGTTTACCTAAGCTTCTTATTAAAAAACATAACGCTACTCTAGAATGACCAAGTTCTGTCTGATCAGTACCTAGTTTTGAGAAATTTTACGTAAAACGTCATTTTGAGTTTCACAACACGTCAAATTTTTTCGAATGCAATTCTTTGAGTATCTTGATAATGACTCCGAATAAGCTTGCGATTTTAATAGAGCAGATAGAACATAAAATGATTTGGATTCTATTCTCATGGTCTTGTAGTAACTCATATGCTGCCAAAAACGTCAGAACTGTGTCATTCTGAGGTATGGATACGTTGTTAGCGCAATGATAGTACATAACAAGATGGTTCACTCAGCCAAAAAAGTGTCCGCAGGAAGTATGCTCTTTGCTTCAGATGGCGCTGCAGTCTGTTTTGAAGCTCTCTTTCGTTTTTCCAGAAGAAGAATAGGAATAGCACCTCCTTGCGTGCGCAGATCGACCGCTGTTCATCAGCAGTTCGGGTACGTTCAGTGCGTAGTTTTAGGTTTAAAAAATTTTTTAATGACCTCTCGCCTTTCATTCTAAAGTCAAATTAAACGAAGAAAACCATCACCCTTTCCTCCGGAAAAGGTTTTTTTGTCAGCATAACCATTAAAAAAAGCGTTCTTCCGAAATTTATCCCAAAACATGCTAGTTTCACTTTGATTTTTAAAAACTCAAGTAGGGTAACTCTGTTCGCAAAGAGTGCGCTTTTGTGAAGAGGGCGCCACCAAATTTTGAGGACACTTTTTTAATTGGCTCAAAGAGAGAAGTGGCCCATCTTTTTATGTACTATCATTGGTTAGCGTCCTTCGCACGTGACGACACGCCGACCCAAGTGTGACGTCTGAGAGAGTACAAACCATATATTTTATATTATGGTCGCCTTTAAGGACAAGCGGGCTAACCCAGATTTCGGGGTTTCCAGAAATCTTGACCTACATCAAAAGTGGGCATTGTCCTACCTATAGGAGAAGTTTGGTTTCATTAGTGTTTATATTTGTTTGTTTATAGAAAAAAACTCTCCTTGTCTTTTAAAGAAACTGAATAAGGGGCAAAAACTTTACCCTCGATTTTCTAAAAACAGCATTTTGCGGGATAGCCCCCTTTTACTTAAAAGCGACCATAATATGCTTTGTATACTGCTTCCCAGGAAGTTGATCTTGTTTCAGAATGCTCCTCAGGTCTACTGGGGAATATATAGTTTGTGAAGCGCACAGAGCTTGCTGTTGAGCGGGGATTTGCGCTATACAAATGCTATCTGTTATCTATTATTATTATATCAAGTAAGTTCGTATGTTCGAATCCCGTCTGGGGATCAATGTTGTGTTCTTTGGAAAGGTACTTTACACGCATTTTCCTCACGTCACCCAGGTGGGAATGGGTTCTCTTCGAAAGACAGGGAAAGATCTTGTCAGTATGTTGGTGCTTGGGCGCTATTTCATCTGCTTGCACTGTTTGCTTCCCGGGAAGCGGAGAATGTTCTGAGTGTTCTGGGGTCTGCTTTGGTAATAATATTAGCCTTAAGCGCATAGAACTTACTGTCGATGAGGATATGTGAATACGTGTGCTATTTGTTTTTATTATTATTATTATTATTATTATTAG